AACACAGTCCCGTCAAAATTCCAGCTGGCTTCTTTGCATAAGTTGACAAGCTGACCCTAAAATTAATATGGAATTTTAAGAGACCTAAAATAGCCCAATTTCAATAATTATTACAAATCAAGACAGTATGGTACTGCCATAAGGATAAACATAGATCAATGGAATAGAATTGAGAGTCTAGAAATAAACCCATACAGTTACGGCTATTTGATCTATGACAAGGATGCCAAGACAATTAAATGGGGGGAAATAGTCTTTCCAACAAATGATACTGGTACAACTGGATATCCACACACAAAAACTGAAGTTGGACCCCATGACTCGAAGACCTAAATGTAAAAGCTTAAAACTATAAAGCCTTTAGGAAAAAACATAGGCACAAATCTTTATGACCTTGGTTAGCAAATAGGTTCTTGAGTATGGCACCAAAAGCACAAGCAACAAAAGAAAAAGACATAAATTGGACTTTGTCAAAATTAAAAACTTTTGTGCTTCAAAGAATACCAATAAGGGAAAAAGCAACCTACAGAATAGGGGAAAATATTTGCAAATCATGTATGAGTAAGGGACATGTATTCATAAATATAAAGAACTCTTAAAACTCAAAAGTAAACAGACAACCCACTAGAAAATGGGCAAAGGATCTGAACAGACATTTTTCCAAAGAAGATGTCCATTGGGATGGCCAGTAGGCATATGAAAAGATGTTCAAACCATTATCCATCAGGGAAGTGCAAATTAAATCAAACCACAGTGAAATTTAAGAAACAAAACAAATGAGCAAAGGGGAAAAAGGGAGGGAGAGGCAAACCAAGAAACCAGCTCTTCACTACAGAGAACAAACTGATGGTTACCAGAGGGGAGATGGGTGGGGGGAGGGGTGAAATAGGTGATGGGGATTAAGAAGTATACCTGTTGTGATAAGCACCAGGTGTTGTATAAAAGTGTTGAGTCACTATATTGTACACCTGACACTAATATTACACTTTGTGTTAACTAACTGGAATTTAAATAAAAACTTTAAAAAAATCAAACCACAATGAGATACCACTTCACACCCATAAGATAGCTATAATAAAAAACATAGCAAGTGTGGGCTGCCATGTGCATACCCTCACATACTGCTGGTGGGAATGCAAAATGGTGCAGCCACCTTGGAAAACAGTCTGGTGGTTGCTCAAAAGATTTAACACAGAGTTAACCATATGATCTAGCAATTCTACTCTTACCAAAGAGAAATGAAAACATATGTCCACACAAAGATAGGTACATGAATGTTTATAGCAGCATTACTCAGAGTGGAAATAACCCAGATGTCCATCAACTGATTACTTGATAGAATGTGATATATACGTGTAATGGAATATTTGACAATAAAAAGAATGAAGTACTGAGAAATACTAAACATGGATGAACCTTGAAAACATGCAAGTATAAGAAGCAGTCACAAAAGATCACATATTGTATGATTCCATTTATATGAAATGTCCAGAATAGGCAAATCTGTAGAGACAGAAAATAGTGGTTTCCTAGGGCTGCTGGGGTGGAGGGGGACTGCTCGACATGTATGGGTTATCTTTTGGGGGATGGTTGCAGTGTTCTAAAATTGATCACGGTGATGGTTGCATAATTCTGTGAATCTGCTAAAAACTGTTGAATTACACACTTTGAACTATATGTGAATTACATCTCAGGAAAGTTGTAAAAAAATGGATTTTATCGCCTCTGCAACGTCGTAGAAGTTCTTCAAAGTTTCCTTTATATCTCACACATTTAGGTAGACTCTGTACTGCTTATTTCCTAGTTGGTCAAATTACAGTTCTTTAATGCATATGCTATTGCTAATATATAATTTAGAAATAGAAAGCTTGCTTTCATCCTGTGCATTGTTTTTCACCGCCTCATCCCCAGAGTTCCAAGCTTGGCATACTGCAGAAGTAAGAATAATCTTGTTCTGACTTGCAAGTTGAATGTTAGTTTAAGAATATCTGACAGTGAAACCTCACTCTTTTGAAACCTAGGCATGAACAAAAGTGGAGGTGATACAGCAAATATGCAAAGTGCATCCACTAAGTCTCCTTTTATTCACTGGAAAGCCATCAGGCCCCCTCCCAGCCCGTTTGCTCTTTATTTTACGTAGTGTTCTAATAAGTGAATCGCTGATTGCAAAGTCCCTACAAGGATAGAAGCATCGGGTTAGGATAGGTGAATTGTGCGTCCCCCACCCCTCTTCCCCAAGTTCGTAAGTTGAAGCCCTAACCCTCAGTGTGATGATCTTTGCAGCTGGGGCCTTGGGATGTAATTAGGTTTAGATGAGGTCATGAGGCCCTCATGATGGATTAGTGCCCCTAGAAGAAGAGGCACTAGGGAGCTTGCTACCCCCTCCCTTCCCCCTCCCCACCCCACCTAAGGACACATTGAAGATGTGGTGGTCTGCATACACAGAAGAGAGCTCTCACTCAGCTGAAGCAGACCATGCTGGCATCTCCATCTTGGGATTCTCAAGAGCTGAGAAAGTAGATTTGTTTAAGCCGTGGTATTTTTTTTTTTTTAAGATTTTTATTTATTTATTTGACAGAGATAGAGAGAGAGCATAAGTAGGCAGAGCGGCAGATAGAGGGAGAGGGAGAAGCAGGCTCTCCACTGAGCAGGGAGCCTGATGCGGGGCTCGATCCCAGGACCCTGGGATCATGACCTGAGCCGAAGGCAGCCGCTTAACCGACTGAGCCACCCAGGCGCCCCTAAGCCATGGTATTTTGTTGTGGCAGCCCGAGCTGACTGAGACTTGGGGAAAAAGGGGGTGTTCTCAAGCCTAACAGTGAGGGAGGAAACAATGAGGAAAGGGGCACTTGCAGGCTATTTGAATTCTGTACAGTGGAAGGAAAATAAAGCGCCTAGGCTCCCAGAGTTCGTAGGCCACAGCATAGTTTATGAAGTGATCTTCAGAATGGTGACCCCTGTTCATCAAGCAAGGGTCAGATTGTTTTCTGTTTAAGGTGGTAAAAAGTTTTAAATCTGTACAAGAAAAACTTCCATCCAAAATAATTCGCATTATTCACTTTTTGAAAGTTAGTTTTCTGCTATCCAAAATGACTCGTGCCTCATAATTTCCAGATGCCTTTTTAAGTTACTACAGTTCTTATTTTTCAAAGCAAAGAGGGTGAAGGTAGATTTTTTACTTTCCTTGTCCTAAAATTGTATTTGAGACAGGACATAAGACCTGTGTCTCCTTTCCACTGGGGACGAATGATTTCCAACTTTTCCAAGTGTTCTCCGGGGGTTGGAGGGAGGCATGCAGAGGTGCTCTGCTAAGGTTAGGTTTATGGTGTGAGGCCTGTCATAAATGAGCTGTGGGCCTTTGCCTCTCAGTTATTCTAAAAGTAAAGATAGGAAGATAATTCTAGCCCACTCTAGGACTCGGAGACTTCCTCTGTGAAGTTTTCAGCCTTTGCCTGCCTCATTTAGCCTTCAAAATGAAAGAGCTGACAGGTAACAGTAATTAGAGCTGTTGACCTCGTTTGTGCCATGCTGTCCTTCAGAGATGATCCTCTCCAGCATCCCCTTTTACTACCAGCGAGGCCCCCTTTACTATTCTGAAATGAACTTGGACTATAGGACCTGCCTGCTCGCGTAATCTTTAAAACTGCATATTTCTGTTCTGTAAGCAAAAATAAGCAGATTACCTAATTTCTAAAATACATAAGTACCCGGGCCTTGGCAAACTTAGAAAATTGAAAAACAGAAACCGCTTCTACCAGTGTCTGTCGCCCTCCCGAGGGGGCAGTAACGGCCCCGCCATCCTGCTGCGTGCCTCTGGAGAAGCCGCACTCGGGGGACCAACGGGGCGGCCCATCCACTGCTCACCCCAGTGTTCATGCGTAAGTGGCAGTTACTGTCTGACTCCTTTCGCTTCCAACACTGTGGCCCTACTCTGGGCGTCCCGGGCACAGAGGCAGAGTGCAGAGCAGGCTGTGCTGGGAGTCCGCACACCAGGGGCTCGGTTCCAGTGTTGCCTCTCGTTTGCTCGGTGAGCTCCATCAAGTCACTTTCTGGGTGTCCACTTCACCTGTCAAAGTGACCCCCCAGGCCCCTTCCGTCATCCTCTTCTCTTACTATTTCTTTCATATTTCGTCTATTCTCAGATGACTGTTACTAGGCTTTTGGTAGAAGATTGAAGTCGGGTTCTTTTTTTTTTTAAGATTTTATTTTTAAGTCGTCTTTACACCCAGTGCAGGGGTGGAAATCACAACCCCTAGACCAAGAGTCACACGCTCCACCCACCAAGCCAGCCAGGCAGCCCCGAAGTTGGGTTCCTCACTTTAATGAACAGAAGAATGCCCGAGGAACTTAAAGATAGGGATTTCCAGGTTCGAAGCCCCAGGGATTCTGATTCAGGTAGAATATTTTTAAACAGGCTTTCCAGAGGATTCTGGTGCAGATACCTGCAAAAATATACTGTCCTAATAGGTGCCAAATATGGCACGGCATTTGTCTTAGTACTTTATCATGGAGAGCCTGAGAGCCAGATACTTTATTTTCACCTCTTATAAATCGTAAATATGATTGTGTATGCAGTGTAGTTGTAACAGAACTAGGTAGTAAGAAAAACTGATCTCCTTTGGAGTTGGTTTGAAATCCTTAAAGGTTTTGTTTTGAGATGTCTACGTGTGCTAATGGATGCCCATCTGAGAACATTGCTTCCATTCTGAGACACTGAGTCATTCTTTCCTGTGACAGATTTTGTAGTACCAAGAGGAGAATGTGTTTAGCACTTGATTCTGGTTGTAAAAGCAAGGATGCGGGGGGCGGGGGGGCAAATTGGAGGGTAGGAGTCTCTCTTGGCCATTTTCTCACCCAGAAACCACTAGTTTGACTCTTATTTCCCATCTAGTTGGAAAGAAATGACTTACTAGCATTTGCATGAAACTGTCATGGTACTACTGTGATATGGATCCCGAGAAAACCAGAGTTTGTAATCCATTTTCCAGCTACTTAGCATGATGTCGGTATCATCTCTTTAGCGTAAATGTTCATCTCCTTCCTTCTTTGGGAAGACTCCAGAATTTCCATTCTTCTTGCAGTAGATGCCTTGCTTTTTTCCACCCGCTTCCTCACATTTCAGGTAGATTGGTTAGCTGTTTTGTTTTTCTGTTTCCGGGGATGTAGCTGTCACATGTTGTTTGAGGAAATCTGCCTGAACCAGACTCTCCTTATGACAGGAGTGCTTTCACTTGAGGATCTGTAAGCATTGACCAGCAGGCAGGAGTATTTAGATTCTCCCTCTTTAAGTGGGTAACTTCGTGCACAATCTAATTTTCATATACTACGACTTTTAACTTACATGCCTGAACCTTTTCCTTCTCTGGATTTAATCTTAGTCTGAGCAAGATGCCTCAATCTGACCACATCACTTTGTTCTGTAGACAGGGGTGCTGGGTGGCCATTCCCCCTTTCTCCCCTCCTTCAGCAGACATCACTGAATAGTGGCCATGTCCTCAACCACTGAGCCAGCTGTGCTCCTAGGGTCTGGAGCAGAGCCCCAGGCGTCCGCTACACTAAGCCATCGTCAAGCATCTCTAAATTGTCGCTTAGTTTTAGATCTTGTTTATAGCCATTTGTACCTTGGGCTGACCATGACAGAAGAAATAGAAGCAGTAGATTTTCTTAACTATTCGTCAGGTCAGATGCAGTCTTCAGAAGGATTGTTGTAAAACACTCTGGTAGCACTTACTGGGATGCAGATTGTTTCGTAAAATAGAGAAGGGTCCAGCTTCTACCACAGCTCTGTCTGGGAAGAATGTTGGTCTCAGTGCCTTTGGAAAGCCTTCAACTTAAAGGCAGCGATCTATCTATTGGTGATTTTTTCACTTGTTTATTATTTCATTTAAAACTTTCTAAATGGTAGAACCAAGGTCACATAGAACTAAGACCTGGCATAAGGAAGTCACAGGCTTTAGAGAGAGGCAAATCGATAAACAGGTGACCTATAATAGGTGATATGTATGGAGTAAGATGCGGGAAAGAATTTTTTTTTTTTTAAAGGTTTTCCGTAAAGGAAGCGATGTTGGGGCTGAGCCTTAAAGATGAGCGGAAGAGGAGGAAAAGGCGCTCCTCCAGCAGAGGGGCCTGGTCCCAGGCAGGGAACAGAAAGCTTATCCTTTTTGCTTGAACTGTGAACCCTCAAGGGTTAGGTTTAGATGGAATTTAAAATAAATTCCCAGTAATATAATATGGTTGTTTTTTTTTTTTTAAGATTTTATTTCTTTATTTGACAGAGAGAGACACAATGAGAGAGGGAACACAAGCAGGGGGAGTGGGAGAGGGAGAAGCAGGCTTCCCGCGGAGCAGGGAGCCCAATGCGGGGCTCGATCCCAGGACCCTGGAATCACGACCTGAGCCGAAGGCAGACGCCCAACGACTGAGCCACCCAGGCGCCCCCCCTCAACCTTTTTTAAAGATTTTATTATATGTCGATAGCCCCTTAATTTGTTTCAGACTCTTGAACCCTGTTTTCCAGGAACCCGAATCATTTATGATCGAAAGTTTCTGTTGGATCGTCGCAATTCTCCTATGGCTCAGACCCCGCCCTGCCATCTGCCCAATATCCCAGGGGTCACCAGCCCTGGCACCTTAATCGAAGATTCCAAAGTAGAAGTAAACAATTTGAACAACTTGAACAATCATGACAGGAAGCATGCAGTTGGTAAGAGAACGCCAGTTTGGGGGGCCGAGTGGGTAGCCCTGGGAATTCAAATGTCAGTCGGCTACAGGTTGAAAAATTGATGCCTCAGTTACAACCGACATTCGTTTATAGGTCTCTAAGGTTCCCAGCTCCCAACACCCAAGGCTTACTGAACTGTTCTGGAAATCCTAGGTTCTAAATCATAAGTGAATCTAATCCGGGAGCGGGGAGAAATCCAAACTCAGGGCATAGGAAATCCTTAGATGAGTCCTTGAGCCAGGCCTCAAGTCCTGCCTTGCCTGGGCTGTACTGGACTAGGAGTAACACACAGAATAGAACTGAACAGGCCCCATTTCCATTGCCTTTCAGAAATAGATCTATTTCTTACAAGAAGAATGTCATTTTTGTGGTGCAGGGGGAAATAGGGTTTGTTTGCCGCATTTTCCAGGACTGCCTATCCCTAGACACACACACACACACACAGACACACACACCCGCGCGTGCGCTGAGTAAGGAGTCCACTCTGTCTCTGTGGAAGCAGAAGAGGGAGTAGAAATGGCCAGCTCCCGAGGTTCGCCTCGGGTTGTACTCCCCGACCTCTGTGCGGGAGCCAGCATTCTGCCTCCTCAAATTCCAAATGAGCTTTTTCTGGACAATGTGTTGATTGAGAGCAGGGCCAAAGTTCAGAGCCTCCAGAAGAGTTTGCCGACATGATAGATGGCAAGGAGCTCCCGCTGGGGCCGCCTGTAGCCAGAGGGATGCTAGGCAAGTTTTCACTTGGATCTTCTTCCCCAGATCCAACTCCTTGTGGGTTGTTTGAGTGCCATTCTTTTTTTTTTTTTCCAGATTAAAAAGACCAGCCAAAGCAAACAATTACTTGTTTTAAGGCCGCAGAGAATGGGAGAGTTTGGATTCTTATTTGACCCTCATGCAGAGGAATGACAGAGCTGCTTGGCTTTTCCTTTTGGGCTAAACTTGTCTTGATTCTTCCTAGGGGATGATGCTCAGTTTGAGATGGACATCTGACCGTCCCGCAGGAGCAGCAGGAAAGCAGCAGTGCTGAGGCTGTATACACCGGATTGGGCCCATCGGATCAACAGTGAACGGACAGAGGGGCAGCCAGCAGTCCCATTGCAGCCCCCGAGACCTCCTCTTCCTTCCTCTGGGTGCCAAATGATGCGAAGATGAGCTTCATCTGACCATTTCCCCTCCCTGTTTCCTGTCCCCCTTCCCAGTTACACAGAGTTGATCCAAGATCCTTGGCATATTTCCGTAGACCTAAGCAGCCCACAGAGGAAAGCAGTTAAACTCTGGCTTCCGTAGTCATTTTACAGTTGAGAAAACCTGTCCTCCCCCCACCCCCCATTTTTTAAAAATCCCAAATCAAATATCAACCTGCCAACAATTGCCTGGCTGGGAAGTCTGGGGAAGTGACACAGAGGTGTGGTGGGTTCAGCATTGTCCGTGTCCTGACCCTCTGTCTGCCCTCCCTGTCTCCCACCTGTGGTTCAGAGCTGTAAGAGTCTGGATGTCGGGTCTTCACAGCCATCAGAGGGCAATGGTAATGGAGAGGAGAGCCACTCTCCCTCGTACCCTGAGCTGTTTGTCCTTCAGGCCAGAGTGCAGTTTGTACAGCTCTGCTAGCATCACCCTGCGACGTTTTCTGAGGTCCACTTCCCCTCCTTCCTCTGGCAGGGGTGTCTTCTGTCTTTGATATTTGAGCGCCGCTTCCCAGTCCTTCACTTAGCACATCTGTGCAGAAAGGTGTGAGCCCCACCTGAGGGGGGAGTCCTTGGGAAGCAGCAGAGCTCTCCTCTCCTCCTTCCTCCCTGCTAGTGCCCTGTTGCCCGCCATCCCCTTGTACCTGAGCCACCAGGGTGATTCTGCCGCTCCCCGCTCCCGCAACAGGCCTACCCAAGCGACAGGCACTTGGGGGGAGGCCTGGTTCATAGCGTTCTGCCGGGTGACCCCGAAGAATGACCTGGGGAGCGTGCTGAACCAGGTGGGTACTCAGACTCAGTAGTCCTTGCTTTCTAGTCCACCGAGCTTTGGGATAATCATTGTCTCTGATGGCAGTGTCTTATAGTTTGAGTTTAAAAGGTGACTTTCAGAATGCTCTTAGAAAAGAACCAAACTTTTTTCCTTTGTAGACCTGCTGAGGCTCCTGGGATAGATAAGCATGGGCTCGAAAGTGGGTTCTCCCCATTGTCTTGCCTTCCCCATCGTACTCGTTGTCCCTCTCCCTCCCTCCCTCCCTCCCACCTTCTCTCTGCCAGGCCATTTTTCAAATACACATCAAAGATACCTCAAGTGTTGGTATCTGATAATATCTCACTCCTCTTATCTGAGGAGTGATCTTTTATTTTTAAGATGACTACAGACCTATTTTTAGATATGTTTTCAATACGATTTTGAACAGCAACTTTTTAATTACACATCTTCCGGTGTTAGGAAGGTGAGAAATGTCCATGGGCGAGTCTGCTGCTCCCTGTCACCATCCTTTGTCTCCCTGAGTCCCTGACGAGCTCTTTGCTTCTCCCTCTAGTTTTGGGTGTGCATGTTTGCAGTTTGTAGTGGGTGGTGTGTCAAACTGGACCATTCTGCCTTGCCATGGCTTGTTTACGAGCGCCTCGTTCTTTCCCTCCCCGTTTGCTTTTTCATGCGCCCCCTCACCCTCCCGACTATTGACTGGCACAATAATCCCGGGAGAGTGACCACCTTGTAGAAAGACTAACACCTCTGTCCTCATAGAACGACAAGTAAAGTAGCCGCTGGTGTCCTGGGAATTTCTGGTCGCATTTGGTGCCCTGAACCCTCTCATTAAGAGACCACATCCCAGGGTGAGAGTAACAGGCCATCTGGCTAGGAAAGAAAGCTGTTTGTTTTTCTTTTGAACTATGAAAAGACCCTGTTTATGAACACATTTTAGACAGAAGAGAGGAAGGCTGTCCAAGGAACTTTGTTCTGTTTTCTACTACAAAATGTGAATAGTACAAAGAGTGAACCTTCTGTGATGGTTGATGTTTCTCAGGAATAAGCTGGATCTCCAAAATTTGGGGGATGCTTTCAGTCTCAAAAATCGATGATCAAAAAAAATATTTCCTTGTTTGTTTGTGTAATGTATCCCTGTTCTGATTTTAATTAAACTCCCAAATTTCGCTTTCCATACTCTTGGAAAAAGTTCAGTTGCACCGTCATTTGCATGAGAAGCTTGCTCAGGACCCCTTTGTCCCCTGGGAGCTTGATTCTTTGGGCATGAGACTTCTCGTTCTTCATAGCTGGCTTTGGCATTCATGGAACCTGGTTCCAACTCCAGGTAGTCGAGCAGTGAGCAGAAGAGCGCCTCTTCTTGATCTTTGTTGCTGCACTTGAAAATCTGGCCTCGCTGAACAGCGGGGAATGGATTTAAAACATGCCAGCTTGAGTGATGTCAAGGCGCCATTTTCCCCTTTTCTGCCATCTTGGGAAATCTCTGCACACGGTTCCCTAATCGGAGGCCATTTTTCTAGTTTTTGCCGGGAGTGTCAGCCGTATGATACAGCAGCAGCCTGCTCCTTCAGTCTTCTCTGCAAGGCCCTCCTTACTGGTTGGTGTCCTTTCCTAGAGGCCACTGCTATGAGAGATGCTTTGACCTCCATGAACCTGCATTTTAAAGATCGTTTCACAAGGCAACAGATTAACTTGTAACAGATGACACCTTTGTGCCATGCCTCAAGAATGATTTTTTCAGGGCGAGCCAGATCCAGAAGAATGAATAATCTCTCCTGGCTTTCTCTTGGGGAGGGAGAACCCTTAGGGGACCATCTGAGTGAGATGGTTCTTAAAATCTTAGTGATCATTTGCTCTTTTTATGAGGAAACCATGTTTCTGAACCTCTGAGGACAGTCCATCTTGGTGGAAATGACCTCGTTCCTCCAAATTCCAGCAGGAGACACGCGTTGTCTTGGTCTGTCTGTACAGTATGGTTTGCTGAGACCACCACGTCTTCATATTCTGTTTAAATAGCTGAACGTCCTCAGGAGCACCCTGTCAAGCAGCTGGCTTCTTGGTATTGGGCTGTCAAGCCCGGAATTCTGTCATCCCACCTGTATTAGTTATCTTCTGCTGTGTGACAGATTACCCCCAAACTTGAAATCTTGAAAGAGCAAATGTTTTCTGTCAGCTTCTGGAGGTTAGGAATCGGGAAGCAGCTTAGCATGATGGTTCTGGCACAGGGTCGCCGGAAGTTGCCATCAGGATGTCGGTAGGGTCTGCAGTCATCTAGCTAGGGCTGGAGAACCCACTTCTACGTGCACTGTGGCTTGTTGGTGCGTTCTCTGCATATGGGTCTCTGTGTAGAGCAGCGCGAGCGTCCTCATACCAGGACAGCTGGCTCCCCCCGGAGCAGGTGACCCCAGGGAGAGGGCAAGAAGGAGTCTGCAGTGCCTTCCGTGACGGCCTCTGAAAGCACACACCATCACCTCTTCCCTATTGTGTCCCTTAGAAACAAGCTCCTAAGCCCGGCCGACACACAGGGGAGGGCAGTGACACCCACCTGTGAGGGGAGCAGTATCAAAGAATGTGAGGATCTATCTTAAAATCACCTCACCCCCTACAGAGGATAAAGTCAGTCCAACAGGGGGGTAGGTTAAACTAGATAACACAAAGAGATGTTGCTACTGCATCTCCAAACTGAATAGAAGACAGACACTCTTCTCTTTCCCCAAAGTCAGCTGCTGGTTTGGAGAGTGGTGGCAAGAAATGACGATTCCCAAGAGAATAAAAAGAGCTCTACGTTTGCCTGGCTACCAGCAGTGCAAGGATGCTTCGGGGCGAGTCCTAGGCTTTGTGTCTCTCAGACTCCGCACCACGTCTTTGCATCTCCGTGAGCCAGGAACTGAAAGGGAATTGGATCCTTCTAACTCAGCCACTAAAGCGGACCTAATTGGAGTCAGGGTTGTTAAGGCAAAGGAAGAAATGTGAATGAGATGTTGGGTTACCGGGCTGAATGAAAGCTTCACGGTTCGGATTCAGGGTGAAGTAGATGATTGCATCTGGAAGCCAGGCCCCTGTCAGAGTCCAGGTGTTGGTACCTGGTCTCTGCAGCCATACGAGCTGAAACAGATTTGGGTCGGGTGGCTCACCCAAGAAGCCACTTCTCAGTTCAGTAGGGGACATCTGGGAATTAGAAATGTCTGTCGGTGCTTGATTGCACCTCTAAATCCAGTGTGTGTCTTACCTGGGTGCCCGCCTCAGGCCGGGCTTCCTGATAGAGATGTGTCTTAAAGAGAGCCGGTCAGTCGAACACATTCCTAGGGAGCATCTCCTGGGCGTCTGGCGCCCATGCCCAGCCATGTTTTAGAGACTCGAGACATCTTCAAGATGCACGTTCCTGTCTGGCTTTATGCTCTGCCTCTTCTCTGGCCCTGCTTGGTGGAGTGTGCACTTGACTAAGAAGCATTGCTGCTGAGGCAGCCGTAAGAACAAGGGCACTTCCTCCACGAGTAAGGACTCCTCTTCACAGCACTTTCCCATGGCTTGTCTTTTTCCTTCTGCTTTTGAGGCAGTCACAATAGATGGTCTTTCGTTTTGCGTTTGGGCCCCCAGCTCTTTGGGACCGTCTGACCTTGGTGCGGACAGCTGCGGCAGCACGAAGCCTGCTGCCTGGGTGGCTTGTCCCCAGAGCCCGCCATTCAGCCGGCGCACGACCCACGTGCCATCGAGGCAGCTGGTAGGAGGGGCTCATTGTGCTGCAGCAGGACCCCAGAAACGGGCTCTTTACTCTTTCTCCCCTTCTTGGATATTCGATGGCGTGTCAAGCATCTTGGCTGCTTGAAGCCAGGGCCCCGGGCCCTTTGAGTTCTCCCGCAGAGAGGCGGTCCACTGCCTCTCCATCTGGGCCGGAACTTGCCGGTCGAGGCATGTTTCTGGACTACAGGCACAGCAGCTGTCTATTAATCTGCGAAACCCAATCACTTACCCACCCATGACATCTGGGACCGGGTAATCATTTTAAAGAAGCACGGTTTTTTTGGGAGGGCAGTTTCTGTCTGGACTTGGAAAGGGGTGTGGTTAACCGCGCCTCCCCATTCCTGTGTCCTAACCTCCCCATTCCTGTGTCCTAACCTCTCAGCTTTTAATAAAGGATGAAATCAGATCTTGAGGCAACTGGGTCACAATTCTTTTGAATGCTTATTCCCCAGGGGCATTTCCTGTTCTAGTAAGGATTTTCCAGTTTAGCACTGAGGTTTCCTTGAGGCTAGCTCAGGAATTTCTTACAAAAGACTAAGGAGATGGATACAAACTTATTTTTTCAAGCAATCATTCATGTCTCCTTTCCCACCCTCTGGAATTTAAATTTCATTCTCTGGGCTGGTCCTAGAAGTGAATACCTTGTGGCAAAACTAGATTTAAGAGGTCTCTTGAGTTCATACATCCTTTCCTCTGCACCTATTCAGATGGTCTGTGGGTTCTCTTTGCTTAACAACTCTGCCTGCAGCCTGGGCCAACCACACGGTATGGATGGCCGGGGGAAATGTTGCCGAGGTGAAACACAGTTCCCTGAGTATTTAAATTCTTACTCTGCCACCTTTCTAAGTGTAGGGGGCTAACCGATGCTGCAATGCTTGATAATCATGTGGCCACGCTGAAATTTCCAAAGGGAGCTCTCGCCGGTGCTTACCCCCCAAATTCCTGGACACTTCTAACAGAGAGAGTTCCATGATTCTAGCCCAGAATAGCCAGTCTTGCCCCCGGTGTATCCCCTTCCTCTCCATCTTAATCTTGAAAAACAAAAAACCAAGCCCAGGCCAAGGGTAAGTTTTACTTGAAACCAGGAGGGTGGGGAGGAACATGAGCTAAGGACGAGTTGTCCGAGTAAGCCATCCTGCTCCTGGTGGCCGTGGCCAAACCACTGAGTCCCATGAGCCAGTGCCTTTCCCTCCCCCAAAGAGGGAGCCCGCCTCTTCCCACCTGGGTACCCCAGGGGCAAGCCTCAAAGGAGGCATCTTGGAGAGCCCAGAGGACACTCACATGCCTAGGGGTCCATTTTAAGCATCTTTAAGATATTTTCTGTATAAAACAAATGCCCTTCCCTGTCTTCGTGCCGCCAGTGGCCCAGTTCCATCCACTGAACGGAAAAGTGGAGACTGCCGTTACTTCTTTGGTCTTCCCTTCGTCCCCTTAGACGTGGTCGCCCCCCGCCCCTCCCGTCCATTTCACCATCGTGGATGGAGAGCGGAGGACACCATGCGGTCTTGAGGCAGTCCCGTGTGAATCCGTGATCACTTTTGTTGGTGTTTGTTTTTTGGTTTTTTTTTTGGTAACTGTCCTAAACCAGCAGGTGTTTGGAAATTAGGGAAAAATTAAATTCTCACCAATGGTTGCTGTTACAGTTAAATCAATAAAGATCTTGAGTATCAACTTGTGTTCTGATTTGCTTACATTTTGGGGGAAACCCTGTGGATTTCACATGTGGAGGGTCTCGACCAGTGAGGTAAATGGGCAGAGATGGTGAGCCACCTCGTGGGGCAGTTCTCAGCATTGGCAGAGCACGGGCTTTGTCCGTCTGGCCCAGAGATGCAGCGAGATGCCCTGTCCCTTCCCTCAGAAGCGTGGTGGTGAACAGGTGCATGCGGGGGCTGGACACACCAGGTAGGCAGGCTCCTCTCTCCTCGGACCAGCTTCGACCAGCCTCATGGAAGCGCAGACAGCGGCTTTCCCTTTTTCGGAAGAGGGCTGCCTGTGCCCCGAGGGGCACCTGTCAGAAATGCATCCCCTCGGAGGTCCTAAACTAGGCTGTGCTGCAGGAGCATCCAATTCCTTGCTATTATTAATCCAGTGAGTCCCACGTATCAATACTGCGAACAAGAATTCTGTCCTGTTGGAGATGTGAACAGAGGTCGGCAGAGTAAAAGTGGACTTGAGGAAACGTTTTCCCATCCAGACAACGGCGTGGTTTAGTTCTGAGGCTTCAGACTGAGCCAGCCTTGAAGTCTAGCCGAGCTGCTTAGAGGCCGTGTTCCTTCCGCCAGGATTCTCTCAAGTAGGCGAGGGTTAAGAACCACCCCTTCCTGGGTGGCTGTGAGGCTCAAGGAAGGCGCTTAGCCTGGGGCCTGGTACATGAAGAGTTCGGGAAAGGGCTGGAGCACAGCCCAGTCGGCGTGGCGACCAGAGGTCAGCCAGCTGGGCCTCCTTTGCCTCGGGAATGAGCGAATTTGGGCGTGGAGCAGGCCTGGGGGCTGCACCCACCACCCAGCCCTGGGACCTCTGGAAGGACTCCTTAGGGGAAGATGGGGCCAAACCCTTCTGCTAGCACTTCATACATCCTTTCCTCTGCACAGAGGCAGGTAGGATGCTAACTTCCAAGGCCACTTAGGAATGCGGGGGCGGGGGGAGAAGGGGAGACGAGGTGGAGGCAAACACCCCACACAGTGGTGCTACTGGAGTCTTGACAACCGCCTCCCGGGTAGCCCCCGTTTCTGCTTCTCTCCTTCCAGTCTTTCCTTTTCTCCACTCCTACGTACCACTAGGCCCACCCCCTGCCCTGGCCAAGGACAGTAAGGCGTCCAATTGCCCCCACTCAGCTATCGGCCTGGCACGGCTCTAAGTACAGTAGACCTTTGCCTTGAGAGCACGTTAAAATAACCATTCTGTGAGAGCCCCATCTGGCCCCCAGGTTAGGGCAGGACTCCGTTCTCGGGGGCAGTCTTCCCTCCACACACGGGGCCCAGGGCACGAAGCCCTGTTGCTAGGCTTGGCCCCAAACGCCTCTGGCCCGGCAGCAGGATGACCCACTGCCGACGGGCCCGGCACGGAGCTCTCAGCAGGGCTCAGCAAAACGAAGTTCCACTCCTCGGTGCCCGCGGGCCTCGTCAGTGAGGTTTTGTTCTGAGTCAGTGGAGCTGCTGACTGTGAACTCTCCCACAGCTGTGGCCACAAGTAGCTTGGACTTTCGCCTTCCTGGCCCTCGCCATAGAAGAAATGTTGGGCACCTATTTAGTAAGGAAGATGCTCTCAAGCCCCAGGGTTGGGATTTTCACTTCCCAGAACCTCGGTGTGGTAGTGGGATTGGGTCCAAATGTTTGGTTCCAGAGGCTAAGCCTTGACCCCAAAGTAGGGGAGCAATTAAGCTGCTATTCAGGACAGTGCCCCTGGGGCTCCAGAGACCAGAGCCGAGTTCTTGACCCCGCCCCTCCTAGCTGTGTGGTCAGGCCCTGGGCCTCCAGATGGGATAAAAAGCTGGCCTCACAGGGGTTCTGAATAGTCAGCTGCAGAACCCTATTGTGATTCGGGACTGCGGTGCCAGCAGGTCTATTTCCACCCCAGGAAAGGAGCAGCTAGAGCGGCTTGGTTGCCGAATCAGGGCATTAAGGTTTCTCAAGCCCAGGCCTGGCTCTAGCCTCACCAACCTCGGCCTAGGCCAGGATTACTACCTTGACTCAGCCATCGCTGCAATCGAGTCAGGAGGGGTTCCCACACGATGGGGCTCATTCTCGTAAGCCTGGAGCAGAAGTTGACCGGCTTCCTGGGGAAGCAGAGGTAGAACTACGATAGACTCGCATTCCCGCTAGATTGGCCCCCTCACCCCGCCAAACAGAAACAGCCCCTGCTCTGTCAATGCTTAATGAGGTCAGCTAAAAGAGAAACAGGATTGCTGCCTTTGGGGTCTTTTCATCCAAAAGGCAAAGCTGTGCTCAGGTGCTTTGGGTAGAGCTTCCCACAAGTAAGCTGGGGTTCCTTCTGCTGGGCTGCTGGGTAGAACCTGAAATCAAGCCCGACTGCGAAGCCTGAGCAACAGAAGAGCTGGTAAAGGTTAGAGAGAGAGGGTACGGCAGGCCTGGGGCTCAGCAGGCTTCGTAAGCTGTAGAGGGAGATGAGGAGATGGGGATAAGGCCCAGAGGACAGTCCATGATGTAGGACCTGCTAACAGACATGTTAGCACTTTACAGGAGGAGGCTGAGCAAGGAATTAGTCACCTGAGGCCACACAGCTTCTCAGCGGCCCGGGTGTGACCATAACCCAGGTCTCAGGCCACCGTCGCCCCTGCTGGGCGGGAAGCTCAGGGGCCTCATTAACAGCACACAATGAGACACCGAGGTGAACTGTCACCAACTTTAATAGACTCGGATTGTGTGTGCCCACGCAGGCTGGCTGGGGGGTGCCTGAGGGCTCCACTCCTGGAGTCCAGCGTGGCCAGCTCTCTGGAGGAGTTTCTGCCTCTCCCTTCAAAGGCACCAGCTGGCCTAGGAGGACTTCACAATGGCTGTATTGTTTGTGCAACTCATTAGCAGAGACCCACTCTGGGGAGCCTCCGGACAAGGCCAGCGGATCGCCACTGGCCGGCCCGAAGCAGGTGGGGGCTTCCCTAAACCAGCCGGAGGCAACGAGAGCCAACCGTTTCTCCTTTAACACAGTGAACTTCATCTTGGCAGGGGGCGGGGGTGGTCAAAGACCACCTTTGAGAATACATAGAAGTTATCGGTAACCTGTCCCACCTCAAAGATAAATGCACGTACGCCCCAACTTTTGCGTATCATTTCTGAGGGTTCATAGGTTAAGAAGTCAAGTAGAGAACCCTTGCCCTAGTGCTTTTATAGTCACCACTGTCTCTTCAGGAAAGAGAACAGCCGACCAGCCTGCCGCCCAGGCTTGCTCCTCTCTCTCTCCCGACAGACAGCAGCCTCTGTGTGAGCCGGACCCCACAGAGCCTTCCTTTACAGGGCAGGCAGCTCTTCCCCCTCTGGCAAACAGAGCAACCTTCCCCCCTCTGTGTCTCCTCATTGCGTGAGATGGTTCTCGTGTCTCTTCTAGGACCTTCCCAACTTCCCAGGGAACAGGCAAATCCGGGCCCCGCCAGGATCCCCTCAAAGGCACCCACATTCTTCCACAATCATGTCTTTATGATGGTCTAGGAGGACTCTGCCGTTGTCCACGTACAGCATGCTCAGCGGCTTGGTCTTCACGGGGGCACAGCAGGTAGAAGGGACTCGGTGGGGCTGGTATCGCTTCAGCAGACTCTGGGGGAGAAAAGTCAGTTAAAATCAGTTTCTGAGTACAAAGGCAGAAGAAAATCATTCTCATAAAGGATTCAGCCTGCCACTATACACCATCAACTCCTAACATGTAAAGTAACTTTACAGGCTGTTTAAAAAAAAAAAAAAGAGCTAAACAGAAGATTCTAAAGGCTGTATCTGGGTAAAGCAGTAGCAAACAGACATGTCCTCCTATTGTTCTAGTCTAGAGTGCATGCCAATTCCAAGAAACTCCTGGTTTCGTTCCAGAAACATGAAGCAGAAGAGAGTCATGAGGAAATTCTTGTGGGATTTGCTTTGTTGCCCAGAGAAGGGCAAATAGAGTCAGTAGGAGAAAAGGTAACAATCCCTTGGCACTCTGGAACCAGGCCCCATCCCTGTGGTCCAGCGAGGTCTTTCTTTTTGGATCTGAGTGTCAGAGTTGCTCTTGGGACTCTCTGGGTCACTGGGGGTCCCCCTGATCATGCAGCAGGGAGGTTCATGGAGCAAAGTCCCAGGAGAGGCTCAGGCCTTTGCCTAGGAAAGGTCCTGCAGGGCTCTGGCCCCACCGAGTTCAGCTCACATGCTCCCCAGAGCCTCTGAACCCCAATATCAGGGCCACCATGTTAGGCTCTATTCTCTGCTCCCTCCCTCTCATTGTCCTTTTGCTCTCCTCCACCACCTTCTAGACCTTAGGCTGATTAGTGGCACGTGGTGGTAGTCTTGGGCCCTCCCTACTGCAAAACGGTGTCCAACTCCTGTTTTAGGTGGCAAAAGTACAGTGGCTAGAACAGGATGACCCCAACCATGGCCCCACAAATGTGGCTCCCATTCCATCGGTGAATCACAGACTTCTAGTAGTGATGATACATCATCCAACGTGCCGGTCACCAGCCAGCAGATATACATGCGGGAAACATCTCATCTCATTTAACCCTACAACATGGCTATGAACTATGGCATTGCCATCCCCCTTTCACAGGCGGGAAAGGTCAGGCTCAGACAGAGTAAGCAGTTTGATCAGTATCACACAGCTAATATGTAGGAATCAGAGCCAGGTTTATTCCCAGAGTCCAGATTCTGAACTTCCTTTCCTAGAAGAGTCAGAGCTGAGGAGAAGCGGAAGTCTTCTAGTCTACACCCTCCACCCCTAATTTTATGAAAGACGAGGAAGAAGGCCTAAGGAAGCAAGGTGTTCGAGGTTACCCAAGCGGGCGTGGCCGCAGGTAGGCCCTCTGAGGACCGTGTCACAGGCCATCAGTCTCTCCCAGGATAGGAGGCAGCACACTGTTGGTGCCCGAATAACAGTGAACGAATGAACAGCAATTTACAAGCAAAGCCGGAGTCCCGTCCGCTCCCCCACCCCCGATCGGGCAGTATGGCCCCCTCTCCCCCACAGCCCCCTGCCTC